CCTTACTTTTGCTTCTAGTGGCCCTGCGGACCATTTACGCAGGCCACGGCTCCATGGTGTTTGAGCACCTGCGGTGCATGGATGCAAACCGCATCACTAGGCAGGGCCGAAGAAGGGCCTGTTCGGACACCTGCACTATGCCACGTTCAGTAGGCATATTTATACAGAAAAATACGTTTTTTGTACACAGCTTTGGTTGGTCAGAATGTATGATTCCATTACAGTTTACTGCTTATTTCGCTGAATTATGACATTATTCGATCTTATATTCCATTTTTTAAAATAATATTTAAGAGCGCATCAGGAGTCTTACATTCAAACTGGAAAACCACTGGACGACTGCTGCTGATACTTTGTGTATTTTTGCAGTCCATCAGTACAAAAATTTGTACGGCAGACACTAGGTGTTAAGATGTTCACGATTGCAATGTCGGTTCCATGAACATTTTATTCTTTGGTGATAAGTATGCAAATATGTCTCCTCGTCCTTCACCTTTCTCTTCCATTTCATTTACCTCCACTTCCTTCTTCCCTCTTCTTCGTCTCTTGCTTCAAAATATTTCGCTTCTTCTTATTGTAAATAATACTATCGAGTAAGCTGCACTCCAGAAACGTAATGCTTAATCTAAGAACGTCGGCTGAATGGTATGGGGACTCGTAACTTCAAACATATTCCACTACATTTACGAAAGACATACTCCTAAACAACTGTAGATTTATCTCCAGCAGAATTTTGCAGTTTCGATGATGCGGAAGCAGTGATATCGATGTTTTGGATGCCAAAATATGGTTCCTCGAATGACTAATGCATTATTTTTGGATTCGGTATTATCAAACCATAAAATTTGCTGTTCCTGGAACGATGAAGATAAACCTATTTGTTCGCTTCCGGATAACACTTCTTGGCTCGCTACTCGTTTAAAACCATCTAACCTCGAGGATGCGGTGCAGGCAATGTTTGTGGAAGACGTTGAAACGATGTTCATGTGTTTTTAGCAAAACAGCTGCCTAGAAACCATAAAAGATCGAAGAGACGGCGTGAAGATGTTCTTCTTCATCACTAATTGTATGCTCTGATGACTCCAAAGACCAAAAGCTGAAGATAACTGACATTATTTTGCAGTCCCTACCTTTCTAGATTTCTATTCTACGATCACAAAGGCTTTATGAGGTGAATAAATAATTAAACACCAGATTCTTAAGGCGCACTGAATCTACCGCTTGCTCTAGCAGCCAGCTATATGAGGAGGGGTAGTTTTATTACAAGGCTATTGTTCTAGTGTATTTGAGAACCTGTAGTGCAACACTGCGTTTCGCATTATTACAGTCATCATGCACCAGGTTTCAGAAAACTGGCACTTCTTATACAGAAGTGGAAATGAAAGTTAGAACCGTTGGAATATAGGTCTGTTCCACTTTCATGAAGCCATTTCTGGCGCCCTTTTATTCAGGTTTGAAGTCAATGGTAGGGAGCTGATGTCCATCTCCGTAACATCAGCCAGGAAAGTCTTCTTTTGAAGGCAGATATGACAGCAACTATGTGAAAAGAATAGCCTGTTTCCCGTTTCGTTGGACAGAATGATACGCATTTGTCAATTTCGGAAGGATGAAAGGAAAGTTACCAGAGCTCGAACCTTGGACCTCTCGGTTTTGAGTCTGCTGACGATGCACCGCTCGAATAACCCTGCCTGATACAGCGCAGTTTGATTCCTGTTCAAGGAAATTCGCCATTAAGACAAAGATTCTTTCAAGTCAAATTCCTTTCCATCTCTGAAATTTAATACAGACCTCTTAAGCAACGCAAAACCACGCCCTCACTTCCTACATGCTATCGCATAAACAACAAATTACAGGATCGTATGGCGAAGTACGCCAACAAGAGAAAAATTCTTCGGAGGATCGATTTTCTGATTCACCGCATATCGTATCGCCCCTTTACTCCTAACTGTCAGGAATTGTCGCAGTCAAGACTGAGTCATGAATGAAAACTGCGACAACCTCTGGCAGCGATACTGCGTAAAAACGAATGAAGCCTTTCGCTCGGCTCAGCGGAAATGGGGAGCGAGCGAGGGGCAACGACAGGCAGCGTTGAACCAGCACTTCCATCGGTCGGTCAAACTAAAGCAGTGCCAGCGATCACCAGTTTACTTCTTGTATAGTTTACGTAAACTAGGTCACGAACTGCGAAAAATGATCGTTTGAAAAACTTTCGACATCCATTCAGCTTCATTGCTATTTTACTTTTTGTACTTCAGCAAGAACTGACTTGTTTATTGCTTTTGATAAGACAACACAATAAAGATCAAGCATCGGGCGAAGGCTTGGCTATCATGGTAATGACAAATGGAGGCATCTGTTAAGCTTTTGTATTACAAATAGCTCAATCGACGGCGTAACCCTTTAACACCATAAGCATATTCTTATAAAACCACCTGGACGTACCCCGATGGAAACCTAAACACTCAGCTGGGCCATCTGTTCCTCATCAGCAACAAATGGTTCTGCTTGAAACTTGAGATTTTGCAGGCGTGGCAACACAATACGATCGTTGCGGAACTTCGTCAAAAATGAGGCGTGCAGCATTGAGGTTGTCTGGTTAAACGAAACATTAACTGCTCTATGTTGACAGATTAACTGTGAAGAAGCAGCGCGTTCGGCCTATCAGAAGGAGGTAAAGAGTTATTTTTTGTAGTGCGAATGAAGCTTATAAAGACTTCAAACACGTGTCATTTCTTCAGTGAAAAACGTAGCTAAGTTCAGGAAGAGAGTAGCCAAAATGTTCTGGATTACAGAGAAGATACGAGAGTCAAACGAATTAGGAAAAATGAGTACTTTCATCACCCTACTACACTCTCAAAGGCAGTTCATCGCCGTCTCATTCATAAATAGGTGAAATCGTGAAATCGATAAGAGCTACAGGTGGGACAGGGAACAGAAATATCGACAAGGCAACCAGACAGGGTGACTGGCGAACGTTTTTAAAGGGGTTGTGACAGTTCTCCACTAAGCAGAGGACTCGATCTGTCTCTAAACATATATCATTAACAGGTTAAAAATAACGCTTCAAAGGCTGAGGCTGGGCATTACCAGTGCTTCTCAACAACTCCCCCTCCCCCAAATTCGTCATTTTCGACCGTTAATTCTCTATCAACACTATAAGTTAGTACAGACCAGTTACGAAACTTTGAAGCATGAAACTGTTGCCAAGGTGAAGAACGCTTGCAAGAAGGGTAGATCGAATTCCATCTGAGTTAATTAAA